AAATATTTTCCGGCTTCAAGTCACAATGGATGACTTTCTGGGTCTTCAAGAGGGTCAACGAAGCCAGCATCTGTTTGCAGAATCGACGGATTAGGCGTAGGGAGAAGCCCTTGAACTCGTGTGCCTTGATGAACTCGTACAGATTCATGCCAAGAAGCTCGGTCGAGATGCAAAGATGGCCACGGAAGTAGAAGCTCTGGGTGAAGTTGATCATGCTGTGCTTGTTATCGGGGTCCTGGATATCGTTAGCAAGCTTACTCTGTACACTGAATGCATCTTTCTTACCCATTCGCGTAGCTTCTGGAGAATGTTGACTTCGACCAGAGCTTGCTGATGGAACCGTTTCTTGTTACGAATGATCTTGATCGCTTCGAGCCCTCCCGTCTTGTGGTCTACGCAACGCACAACCTGTCCGAAGCTGCCCTTGCCAAGAACATCAACAACTTCGTATCTGTATGCGAGATGGTCCCCCAAGACGATGTTGTAATCGCCACGTTCGTCGTCATAGCCAAAGTTTGCGGTCTGCGCATTCAGATCACCAACGTGCTTCTTGGCGTTCTTTGTTCCACAGAAGTAGACCTCCTTGTAATCGATGATCTCGCCTCTTTCGAATATGTTCAAATTGGCCATGCGCACAGCATCACTTGGACTGACACGCTCCTTGGCTGTGGCGCGCTTACGGAGCTCGTCGACGTCGCGCGCCGCATGCTCAAAGTCTTTCCGCTTCGAAGCAAGCTTCTTCATTTCTTCGTCGGCCAACATGTCATCTCTATCGAGGTTTGAATCGAGATTACGAGCTTTGAGCATGTTCGATGAGCTCTTCGTACCCAGCATTCGCTGCATTGGTGTCAAGATCGACGTTGACTTCTGTGTCGGCTGGCTATTAGCCTGGTCTGTGTGGCCCGATACCGCACGTGTTCCAACATTCCCTACGGGCTTACGAGCACTTAATTTCTCAACCTCTGTATCGCTTGCAACTGCTGTTGCAGAGGGTTTGCGGCGCCCGAAATCAAGGGATGGTCGACTCCCACTCTTGGCGGGACTTGGGCTTGTGCCAATAGCACCGCTCCAAGTTGCAGACGCAGGTAGCCGCGGTGGAGGCATCTCGCTGTGCTTGGGAGGCTGGGGTTGCTGTCTTGGCTCACCACCCTGAGGGCCCGGTTTTCGGACCTGCAGATTTTGCGATTGATGTGTTGCAGCTTTAGATGAAGCTCTTCTCCAGCCACTGAGGCTGAGCTTTCGCCGCAAAGATGAGCCAGAAGAAGGCGTTTCAGGTTCGGTTGACGTGGACGTCTGTATTGAATCTGACGTGTTCTTCTTCTGTAATGGCCGCGGGCCAGCAACCATACTCTGCATCTCCACATCCCTGGCAGAGGATTTGTATTCGCCGCTAGGTCGTGGCTGCAAGCGGGCGAACTCCCCGCTACCCTTTGGCAACGAATTCGATGAGAAAGGCGTGGTGGCTTGACGTGTTGGGTTCAAGGTCGGAACGGGAATCGAACCAATGTTCGGGTGGGTATCAAGCGAGGAGTCTGCAGCACGCAGGTTGAAGGCCGAGCTACTGCTACGCAAGTGTTTATGGTATTCGTCGTGATGGTTGTTCCTTGCGAAGAAGTTCGCCTTGGAGGCTGTCATGGGCGTACTAGGCGTTTTGTTGGCAGCACGTTTAGGTGGTGGCGTTACATTACGCTCGTCCACTTCACCAGAGGGTGCAGGGAAAGACGATATCCGATTGTTGAATGGTGTGCCGAGCGGCAGCAGATTCAGCGGCGGCAGTCTGATTGGCTGTAGGTTCTTCTTGCTGGACTGCTGTACCGTGGGCGTTCTCTCACCTTCGGTACCAGCTCCAACAGTTAGTCCCCGTCGATGTCTAATGGACCCTGTGCTCCTGTTCATAAGACCGCCTTCCAGGGTCTCGTTCTGCCGAGGCTCGGCTCGTTGCGTGTCGGGTGTTGACACTGGTTCTTGAGGTGCTTGAGGAGGCGCGCTCATCTTTGAATTTGGTGTTGTGAATGCAAAGCTGCTGCGCTCGGGGTCCTTGGGAGATTCAAACGCTTTTGGTATGGCAGGTACAGGGGGCACCTCTTCTTGCTCCCCACCAGCTGAGCTTTGCACATTTCGTGGCTTTGGCGCAGGCAGACGAGAGCTTGTCGGAGCGGTATTGGTGCGCAAGGGTATTGATGAAGGACCAACCTTCAACGAGTTCAAGCTCGAGTTCGACGAGAGCGATATACCAGAAGCATAAGACTTGCGCTTCTGCTCGGGCGTCGCGCGCGCCGAAGATGGTGTCATACTGCCTCCCACAGCCAAGGCTGGGGACTGGCTGAAGGCTCGCTCGTCGAATGTCTGATCGCCCTGGGGAGTGGGAGGACCCACTGGGCCGCCTGGCGGATGATTTGGGTTCATGGACAGTCTCCTTAGCCGCCGAGCGTCTGTGGGGCTGATGGTTCGCGCGCCAAGTCCAGAGATATGTGGAGCCGTCGACTGCCGTTTGCTGGATGAGGACGAAGGTGTGTACGATCTTTGCGCAGCGGGAGACCTGCCAGGGGAGGGCATTGAGCTTGGATCGGGGGTCATGGATGAGACAGTCAGGTGGCCCGGTTGCTGTCTCGAAGGCGGTTGTAAGGACTTTGCTTTGGCGTTGCGTGCGGCAGTTGGGAGCCTGGGCACTCCAGTGGTAGGAGCTGTGTTGATGTTTGCAGACAGTGTCTCTCGCCTGTTTCCCTTGTTCAGTGACGGCGCACGGCCGAGCTGGGGCATTGCGTTGTCGTTGGCCAGTCTGTCCATTTCCTGGCGCTCGAAGCTACTTGAAGGCAGCATTCCAGGGCCAACGCTCTTCCGCGGTGCTCGGGCAGCTGGATTTGGGGGTGCCTGGGCGGGGAATTGACTTTGGCGACGTGAACGAATGGCCATGTTGCTCTGCGGCGCTGGCATGTTCGTGTCAGAGCCCGATGCGGTAGAGGCGCCACTTGGCTTCCTCGCGGTGGACTGGCTGAAGCGGCGAACGAAGTCGCTGCTGCGTGTGGGCGGCTTGTCAGTGGGCGTTCCCGTGAATGACGGCATATTGTTGTTGCTGGGCGTGGTGGTGCTGGCAGGCACGTTGGCCTTGAACGTGCCAGGCGCAGGGAAGTCGCTTAGAGCGGGCTCGTACGCGAGGCTGTTGGCGAAGTCGTCGAAGTTGACGGCGGGCAGGAAGTCGTACGAGCCGGTGCTCTCAGTCGGCTCCTCCTTTGCAGGCCCGGGCTGCGGCTGCTTGGTGAAGCTGAAGCGTGGATTCGAGGGGACGGTACGCGTGGCCGCCGTCTCATTCGCGGGCGTGGGCAGGAAGGAGCGCGTCTCGAGGGAAGCGACGCTGGCGCCGCTTGCCATTCTGCTGCATCACGCGTCAGTGCTGTCGTCGCCATAGCTGCGGCGTCGTACCTCTGCTTGGTGAAGTCCTGGGGCCGCTCGCGGGGGCCCAACGGCACCTTGGCCCTGCCCCGTCCTGCGGCGTTGTTGTTGATGGAAGGCAGCGGGCGGGCTGCGCTTATGGCATTGGATGCACTCGTCTTGCGCAGGCGGCTGCCCTGGTCGCCCGTCTTCTGGAACTTGCGTACGCGGTCTTCTGCAGCGCGGGTTAGCTATGACACCTCGTCGCGTAATGCGACAGCCACCCTAATGCTTTTTCGTACCTGAGGAGCCGCTAGAGTCCTCCGACATGTTGGACCCTGACCGTTCGGGCACGTTGGTCGTCTCCATGGTCCGAGTTGCAGTTCGCGGCTGCGTCGCCATGGCCAGCTCCGCAGCTCGTGATTACGACACCGGCAATGGACGCTCTGCTGTCACGGGATGCTTCAAAAAGTCTCCCTCTTTCAAAAAGCCGGGATGGTCTCCAAGCGTCGAGCTTGGGCACCGAGGGAGACTATGCCGACATGTCGAATGGGCCCGGCTACAGCGGTGAAAGCGATCGGCGGTCGGTAATGAGTCGAGCGAACGGCTATCGGAAGGATTCAGGCTCAGGCAATGGGCTGCGCAAAAAGCACGGCGCTGGGTTGCGGCAAAGGGGAGGTGCACGATAGTCGACGTTCGTCAAAGTCACAATGAGGGTCGCCCGCAAAAGCCACCAAGGCACTAGGGTTGTCTAGTTGACAAGGACCCACGGCCCCTGTCCATATCTGCCTCTTGCGGCGAATAGGGTATTATCAAAACAACTCTCCTCTCCCAGGAAACGGACGCATCGCCCAACGGCCCTACTGTCTCGCTGTCATCTCAGCGCTGCTGCCACGCTCCTGTCCAGAGTAGCTGTGCACCAGGCAGTACGACCATCACCTGCCAACCATGATTGCACCACCCAAGCTACCCTAGCCCGCCTGCACATGGCACGGCTTTCAGCATGTGCATGCTGAACCCTCAATCGTGCATGCTCTGGAAGCTATCTATGTAGGGGAGGTTACGGCCCCGAAACATGACAGCGGGAACTCCGCAGCTCTCCGCAGTCTTGATTCTTCGTCTCACCACTAAATGGTAACGGAGACTTCACAATGTAACAGCGATCTCCAAGAGCTTCTTGGTCCTCCAAGTCCCAAAGGTTGTTTGTCCCTGACCATCCCAATCGCGCACGTGCACGGCCACATGTGGGGAAACGCCGGAACGAACAACGTACCACGGCGCAAGCTCGACGCCACGAGTTCACATGCGCGTGCGTCATCCGTTTGCTGCCAACACCTGCTTTCAGACCCTCCACGCCAAACTTTGGGAATGCGCTGAAATCACGGAACCGAAAGAGGAGGGATAGGTTACCATCTGGATGTTGTCTAGGCTGCTGCTCGACGTCTACACGGATTAGGAACTTCCAAGGTTGCGACTCAGCCACATGTGACACGCCCACCTCCAAAACCACGCAACACAAGTGTGACTTCCCTAAACACACTCTGAGATCGACACGCCACTTCGGCCTTGATTCACTTCAATCTGGTCGCCTGCCTGCCGAGGAACAAGACAATCACACTGCAGGTCCCGCCATGGGTTCAGACAACTCCGAGTCGCTGGTGAACCGCGGCACGCCCATTCCGGTAGTCCAAGTACAACATGCATCGAATGACGGCACGCCCACCACGGAGAGGCCTCACTCCCGCCGTCTGTCGGCTAGCAGGCTTAAAGACAAACTGGAGTCGCTGGGTGATAACATAAGCCGCGAGTCGAGTAGTAGGGTGGGAGACAAGATGATGAACATGTAAGTTATCCGAACCCAGATGTTGCTGTACAAGCTGAACATCACGAGCGACCCTCGACTATAAGAGGAGTGTGCAATATAAGATGTATTGAGCTGATTTATATAGGCTACTGGCACAAGTTCTGCCCTCGGAAGACCTCTCTGACGGCTCGCCTCCGGATTCAGCCTCGACACCAAGCGGGAACACACCGCAAGTCAAGGACCGGCGCTCTCGAAGCTATGTTGCTCGACCCAACTTCAGCATCCCCACCATGTCGTCCAACTTCCGTCGCTTCAACTCGCGCATCGGCGTTGCTTTCGTTGCTCAAAATCGCCTCATTCGGCTGTTCACCTGGGCTCAGCCTACGCAAACCCTCTCATTTCTCTTCGTCTGGACCTTCGTATGCGTCAATCCGTATCTTGCACCTGTACTCCCGTTGGCATGTGGCATGTTCTTCGTCATGGTTCCTGCATTTCTGACCCGTCATCCGGAGCCCATGACGAATACGATAGATATCGACGGCGATCTGTGGAGAGGAAGCTTGGGAGGACCACCGTTGGCCGATGCGAAGACAATCAAGCCTGCGCCTGAGTTCAGCAAGGACTTTTTCCGCAACATGCGCGATCTGCAAAACTGCATGGAGGACTTTAGCCGTGGCCACGATGCTGTACTGAGCTTCATCACGCCGCTCACCAACTTCCAGAACGAGAACCTCTCATCTATGCTCTACCTCATCCTGCTCGTTGTATCGGTGCTGCTATTCATATCGGCGCACCTACTACCGTGGCGCGCAATATTCCTCGTCCTTGGATACACTTTGACAGCGTTAGGGCATCCCAACGTTCAAGACCTCCTTACAATGCCCGAGACCGAAAAGTTCATTTCGGACGCAGAACATGAAAGTCGATCGTTCCTCCTGACCATCTCACGCGCAGACATCGAACTGGAGACATCCCAGGAGACGCGTGAGGTAGAAATATTCGAACTTCAACACCGCGCCCTACATGACGAGCATGGCGAGTATGAAGGTTTCATGTTCTCTCCATCGCCTTACTCGCCCTTGTCGCCTTCTAGAATCAGCGGTGACAGACCCCGCGGTACCCCGTTCTTCGAAGATGTACTTCCACCCCGCGGCTGGCGCTGGAGCGACAAGAAGTGGACGCTCGATCTGCTGTCTCGTGAATGGGTTGAGGATCGCTGTGTTACAGGCGTAGAGGTTGAGGTCGAGGGTGAGCGATGGGTGACGGATCTGCACTACGAAGTCCTTGAGAGCGAAGGAGAGAAGGCCAGTGCCGCAAAGGCGAAACTCAAGAAACGGAGCGGGTCAAAGGGAAGTAGCAGGGATATTGCAGATGAAGAAAAGGAGGTCTTGCGCCGGGCGTGGGAGAGCCATGCACCGAGTCGCAAGGGCGAGTGGAGGAGACGGAGGTGGGTGAGGGGTGTTGAAAGGATGCCTTGGAGAGAGGGCCAGTAGTCGTAGAATATCGGAAAGACACGGGTACATATGTGGTGTTCATCATCCACCCCGCTGCTGCTCTTTTCAGCTTCCTTCATCGATGTTGCAGCGTTGGTGTGTTCACATCTAAACTATCACCACCGTCGCATTCCACACCAGTAAACTTGCCTACACAGCAACACTAATCGTCGCAATCCGGACAACTTCATTGTATGTATGTACAAGCAACTCCACAGCCAACATGCGGTTCCTGATCTGCACTCTTAGCTTGATGCCACTGCAGTAGCGTCGGCGTACAGGAACGGGAATTTTGCGGGGTTGGCGACGGTGCGTGAGGCTGGATTGGCTGCTTGATTCCGTCCTCGAAGATTCGGTTGTCGCGTCGTGATCTCATCACAAGAGGCAAAAACCATCATTCAGCATTCACATTCTATGGCACCGGCCTCTATTTGCGGGTTTAACCCGTGTTGCTCCCCAACGGCCGATTGCCCGACTTCGGCAGCCAGCCGTTTCATGCAGGGCAGCTACGCTAGTGTGGAGGCACTTAGTAGCCCGTCGGCCAGCCGCGCTACCTCCGCTATAGTAGAATCATGGAATCCATGAGTGAATTGATTGCTAATGTGACCCAAGTGACGCCCACGAAACCGATTGCGCGGAGCACTCGGCTCGCAGATTTCTCTTAGGCAATTACTGAGCACTACGCGTTTCGGCCTGCTTCTTTGACGTTATCCACCAAGGTTCGCAGCCGCGGCCGGAAGGCAGTTATAATGCTCATTGTTCTCTCACGCCACTTCCCTGACCATTTTACTACTGTTCGTGTTGCAGTTGCTTAATCGAGTCAGCTCTTCACCATTCGTCTTTAGCCTACCGTCCGCGTCTCCGCAAAGACCCCTCTAGTACTGGGCTCCTCCAAACTCGGAACCAACTCGTTTGGTGCCTGGGTTCCACCTCCGAGACAACTTACCAGACACGCCTAGATTCCGTTCGCCCACACACAAGCACCGCGGATTTAGTTCATTTCTACCCCACCCTCCGCTCGTCGTTCCTTAAAAGATTTGGGAATCCCTTGAGCAATCACCCCAAGGGTAATTGTTGGTGGCGACTACCTCCACGGCCGTTAGTCGAGTTGTACTCCTTCCCCGACTCCGATTCAATCACGCGACACTCCTCCGACAGCTTCCCACGACCACCGAGCACAACAGAACACCTCCATCCCTCTAACAGTCAAATACACCCAAACTCTATTCCCGCTTACCATCACAATGCTTCCGACTCTGCCTCAGTTGGCCGATTACGGCATCTCACCTCAGAACGGCTTCTTGCCCGATGAGATACCGCTCGATGTTCTGCCGGATCGCTACTACCAACCGTGGGAGACCATCGTGCGCAACTTCCAAAGCTTGATCCTTGCCAAGCGGCTACGTGGGATAGTCGACACACTACCAGTGCTGGGAACCCAATTTCTCCTCACAGAAGCTGAATGGCGGAGAGCCTACTCCATCTTGGGGTTTATCGCCCATGCATACATCTGGGGCGGTGACAGACCATCTGATGTAAGCCTTGAAAACCCACACATTCCAAAGCGATGCATAGCTAACGACCCCGTTCAGATTGTGCCGCCATCCATCTCGATACCGTTCATGGAGACATGTAGACACTTGGAGCTCCCACCAGTCGCAACCTTTGCAGCCGTCTGCCTGTGGAACTGGCGACCACTATTCGACTGGGAACCTGCAGACACCTTGGACAACCTCGCGACGCAAATGACCTTCACTGGCTCGATGGACGAATCTTGGTTCTACCTAGTGTCTGTAGCGATCGAAGCCAGAGCTGGACCAGTCATTCCGATGATGATTCGTGCTATTGAAGCTGCTAGGGACAACGATAGCAAGACAGTCGTGGACTGCCTTCAGAGATTTGCCGGGAGACTCGATGAGCTAGGCGCTCTCTTGGAGCGCATGTACGAGAGTTGTGATCCACACGTCTTCTACCATCGCATTCGACCCTTTCTGGCTGGAAGTAAGAACATGGCGGACGCTGGTCTTCCAAATGGTGTCATGTTTGATGATGGTACCGGCCAGCAACCACATGTGCAGTTCAGCGGCGGCAGCAACGCGCAGAGCTCCACTATCCAGTTCTTCGACATTGTTCTAGGAGTGGAACACAGACCCACCGGCGAGAAGAGGGATGGCACTGGAAAGCCTGCGCTATCTGGACCCTCGCATGGCTTCATCCAGGATATGCGCAACTACATGCCCGGACCCCATCGCAGGTTCCTAGAGCATATGGAAAGCGTCGCAAACATTCGAGAGTACGTCACGTCGAATCGCAGAGATCGGGCTTTGACGACATCCTACGATGCATGCCTAGCCATGCTGCGGAGTCTGCGCGATAAGCATATCCAGCTTGTATCGCGGTATATTATCATCAAATCGCGCGAGACACAGTCAACTGCCCGATCACTGTCACCCAAGCCAGCAAACACACAACGTGTCAACTTGGCTAACACCATGGCTCGCACGGGAAGCAAGAAACTTCGTGGCACAGGAGGCACAGCTTTGATTCCTTTCCTGAAACAAGCACGCGACGAGACTGGCGAGCCTGCAATCGATGCCTGGGCAAAGCGATTGCTCAACAACGGGCCTGCAGAGATTGGAGCGTCCTTTGGCGTCGATGATGGCGTTGCCCGGCTAGGCAAGATATCGGAAGCCTTCAACGGGCAGGTTGAGATTGTCGGTCTTGCGGGAACCTGGAGCGTCGATGATAGCGAGGGAGGTATCTGTCATTGGTGATGGATGAGACCACGATGACCCCAAAAGCATTTTCTCTGGCGTTTGGATTTGAAACGAACATACCCTTCTCGACACGGCAGTGCGAGCGAATAGATATCCATGTTAGCAACTACACTCTCGACTCAAGTTTTTGCAATCTTAGTCGCCCTGGATGACTGAGACGATCGGTGTCTGCTCGGTCAAATGTCTTCATTGCATCATAATACAGGTGAGAACGATCAGTTGATCTCCAAAGCGATGTCATCAAGACCCACGAGGTTGTGAACCAGACCACGAGCGTCGAGCGTCTCGGATTTCCAATGCGCCACCTTCGTCAGATCTCCCGCGCAAGGCCAAGTTGCGCGCGTCGCGAGTGCCCAACGTGGGGCGTGACGTCATACTTCACATGCTCCACCTGAACTTCCATACAAACAAAGTGATATATAACTCGCTGCCAACATACCATTTAGCTACAACTACAGCTGCAGCTTTATTACACCGAACCACAATCTCTTCAACCCACCACAAAACCAATAACACAACCATGTCTTCAAACAAGGACGCGACTTCCACCCCTCAGTCCTACATGGACAAAGCCACCGGCGCAGTCCAGAGCGCCATCGGTTCTCTCACAGGCAGCACCGCCGACAAGGTCAGTCTCTTCATTCCAAATCCCCGCAGTCGTTTTCTAACCCACCGCAGGCCCAAGGCGAAAACCGCAAAGATGCCGCCGCCGCCGAACACGACCTCTCCCACTCCGCCGCCAAAGCCGGTCCCTTCTCCGTAACCCCCTCGGGCGGCGTCGCAAAAGACAACTCGGACCGCACCCAAGGCTCATGGAACCAAAACATGGGTGCCGCGAAGGAAGCGCTCGGTGGCCTCACCGGCGCCGAGGGCCTCAAGCAGCAGGGCATCCAGCAGAACAAGGAGGGCAAGGAGCAGGAAGCTGCGGGCCAGGTCAACGATCTCGGAAAGGGGATTGGCGATAGGCTTGGGGGTGCGGTGGGTGGTGCTGTTGCGGGACTGACGGGTAATGCGGCGCAGAAGGAGGAGGCGCAGAAGCAGCACGATGAGGGGAAGGCGCGGCAGAGGGGTGTTGAGGCGGATCTGCAGAAGCAGGTTGAGGCTGAGAAGAGGTCTTGAGTGCTGGATTGTTATGATGCTACGGAGAAAGTCTTGGGGCACATATGACGGATTTTAAGATGATACCCGATGAATGATATTATGTTATCCTAAGAGTGGTCTGTCTTGTCGCGTTTTTTTGCCTGCACGTATCGTGTGTTCCTTGTCGCTGTTCACGCGTTATCAAACTGAAAAATATGGTATTTTGAACGCGAGTAATTGGGTTTTTGCGCGATTACAGAACCTATGAAGATAATTGAATGATTCATACGGAAAACACTGTCGGGATAGTTATAGCAGAACAATACAGCGGGTCGCATCACTCCCATTCAAGGGAAGAAGTAGACATGTATCTCCTACAAAGTCCGATTAGAAGCAAAACAAAGAAGAATGCTACATGACCTCGGGGTTTTGCAAACTTTTCTTTTTACACGAACGTAGACTTCAGCGTCCCCGTTCGATTTTCTCCTTGTATGAGATGATATTGTGATCATTGTACCGGGGAAGCTTGGTTGTCGGTTCAAACGAGAGTCATTGTCCATTTGCGATGATCAAATGATCGCAGGTCTTCCATTTTCTGTGCCTGTTCTCTTTCCACCGATGGGCAAACCAATTCCGATCGATTCCGGCCATACACCGGCATCTTCCACGACGCATGTCCACGCAGGCACATGCCAAGCTGTCCGGCGATCTATCCGTGCAGGACTTTGGGCTACGCATTGCTAGAGACTTCGACGATGAAAATTGCGGGCGCGTCGCTTGACGCCAATCCACCGAGGGTTCAACAGGCGCAGCTAAGGTGGAACGAAAGCTCCAGTAGTTTGACCTAACCCCCAGGTTTGAGCCACAACTAACTATGAATAGAAGCCTACGCCACATACTGAGGCTTGACATCATGTTAGCGGCATGGTGGCGGGCGGCTGCTGTGACGTGAGGTGGATCGACGGCACAAGCCCATGAAGCTTGCGCAGCTCTTGTGGCTGGTGGGCGATCCAGACCTTGCCAGCCAAGAGCACCCTCACCGTCTAGAGACATGTACGTTTGGCAAATGAGGCTCGGAAACACGGCCGCTGCTGAGTCCGGGGTTGACCAAGCAGCAGCACGCAATTTCCCCCAGCCTCAGAACGCGGCATGCGTCACTCGCAGGGCTTGACAGGTAATTTGGACGTGGAAACTCTGCTTGGAAGTTTGAGCGCGATCTTGTTTTGCTGTCGGGTCACTCGGACACCTATGACGCCACAACGGAAGGTGTGGCGCGTGCGGGTACGCGGCAGCGCCTGCCATCCTTGCTAAATTTCACCGGCTACGTCACTCTCATGGTCATGAGCTGCCCTCGTCACCTGCCATAAATACTAAGCAAGACTCCCGCTGTTTGTCAAATCATCACACCATCAATCCGCACTCTACTACAAGCACTTCCAACTCTTACACGCAAGAACAACCCAACACTCCAACATGCCTTTCACCGCCAGGTATGTCCGCTCCAGCAGCAATCAGCCTACCTGAAGACGTAGACACTAACAATCACCAGCGACATCTGCAAGATCCTCCTTGCCATCATCCTGCCTCCTCTGGGTGTCTTCCTTGAGCGCGGATGCAACGCTGATTTCCTCATCAACATCCTGTTGACCGTTCTTGGTTACATTCCGGTGAGTTCCGGTACACACATCATCACCCGCGACCCTGTCACTAACAACATCACCAGGGTATCATCCACGCTCTGTACATCATATTCAAGTTTTAGCGGGGGCGCGCAAACACCTTTCACGATGCCGCGATAACGGCTTGACGAACAACGTCACATCACGATACCCATCTTCCTCTTTTTCCGCCATTGTCAAAGCTTGACCAACACCCGACACTCACCGATATCTCCGATGCCAGGATACACTTCGCATGGTGTCGCTTAGGGATGCCGGAGCTTCCGGTCGGGTGAAGGTGGCCTTGGCTTGGCTCCGTCTGTAATGTCATGAATAGCTTCAGGTTTTGGCGTCTTGGTTCTCTGGGACAATCTCAGGTTTCCTCGCGAGCATCCTGGCGCGTTTCTACGAGCGTGCTGTAATGAGAATATAATCAAATATTCTACGAACATCCCTTTCCAATTGCTATGATGTGCAAGCATGAACGTCATGTGTGATATTGCAAAGGTTAAATAGTCAAGATGGCTAGAAGCAATCAGTACAAACAGACGCAGAACGTTCGAGGCGTTGGGGGTCGTGCCAGGGCTCAAGGTCGCAAATACGATGTGCAGCTCATGATTACCAATGTATTTCGGGGTTAGCAGATATGTCTCATGACAACCACTCAGAGTCGGTGTGCTATCCTTCTCCAGTCCTATGTGCGGCTGAACCAGAGGCACGATGCTATGCTTGGCACGTGCATCGCCGTTCTTTCCAAGGTTCACGCGCTCCGCACCAGCACTCACGATCGTCACACCTCGCGCCCACTTCGACCCTTATGTATTCCCTCCACTCCAAACCGTATCACTCACCGCATTCCTATCGTTCGAAGCGCAAGGCGCGATATAAATACCGCCCAGTATGAGCCTCATGACTGCCACGCTCACAGACGCCGAAATCGACGCGCTTAGCACCTCAGCCTTTGACCACGATGGCGCGATCCGCAAGCTCGACAAAATTATGCGCTCGCTAAACACCGACCCTACTTCATTCATCGAATCGATCCGGGTCAAAAACACGCTCGATGCGTACGTCCAACGGGCCAAACTTGAGCCGACTCTGCCAGTGCTCAGGCTCATCTTGAACTGCGAGTACAAACTGTGGAAGTTGGCCGAAGAGACACCCATGAAGCACAAAGTTTACTTGTCGCACTGGGTAGAGGCTCTCGTGGAATACAATAACGAGGCAGCCGAAGGGCAGGAAGACAAGGCGACCAGCAACGACACTGTCACTGCTGCGGAAGTCCGGAAGACCAGGGCGGAATACATCATGGGGCTCCTGCTGTGGGAGCCGTCGTCATCCAAAGCCTCACCCCACTTGATACTGGACCGCCTTAAGATGGATGGTGTTCCACTAGCAACCTTCGATCTGGGACCGTATATGTGCATGCTCGTTGAGACCGAGGTTTGGGACGTGCTGCCAGAGCCGAAAGTACGAGCTCCTGCACAGCCCGTCCAGAAGCCCACAGCACCAGCGGAAGACGAGGAGTCACGGCACGTTACTCAGGCGCAAGAAGTTAACAGCTCACAGTCATGGGATGAAGTCATAACCCGAAAGCTCAAATTCGAACCCGAACAAGCCGTGCGAGAACTCGCGCATCTTCCACTCGAGCTATCGTCCCTAGAATTCCTCACCAAACTACACACCAACCACACCTTCGTTGACAGCGGGATTGATGGTCAAGACGTTACCATCCATTTCATACAGCACGCAATGCGGCTTATCGAGAAGATGGAGGCGCCCCCTCCGACGTCGCAGGAGACAACGACCAACGGTACTGCCAACGGAACCACCAATGGAAACACCAACGGTGTTGGCAACGGTACCCCGATCGTTGAATACGGAAAGGATGCGCAACGTCGCGCTGTCATGATACTGCTGTTGTTCATCAAAAGCTCAATCACCAAAGGCTTCGTTGAAGCGGGGGCGCTCTTCTATGAGCTTCAGGAAATATGCATTCGATACATATGGATAAAAGAGGTCAGGGACTTCAAGGCTTGGACGCAAGGACAGTTTGGGGTCAACTAGAAGCTTACCAAGAAGAAGTCGAAGAAGGCCAGGCAGTCAGGTCGGGTACAAAGAGGCTGTGGATGTTAGAGGTCGATAGGACTGATCATTAGAGAGAAGCAGGGTGTATTGATACGCTGATTCAGGTCTTTCCTTTGTAGACGGCCAGTGTCGTTGATACCAATGTTTCGATGTTGGCCGGTCCGTTTCTGCGACTGCAGCGTTTGCCTTACGATGCAGCTACTGCGACCACTGCTCCGTACAGTCCAGATGTGGCAAGTCTTGCTGTGACCGACATGCATAGCGAAACACTGGAAGCCGATAGCATGAAGATCCGCGTCCAGAACCTGCATGTTGTTCGACAATCTCACCGCTCCGCGTTTTCGAAGCTGTCATTCTCAACCTTCTTCTCTATTACAGTGCTACAGTGGAGTCGCCTGGAAGTGTCGACGTCAAGTCATGGTCGTGCTTGAGGCGGCTTGAAGGTTTCGGGAATATCCGGGACTGCAGCTGAGGCAAGAAGCAACGCGCTAACCCTCGAACGATACCAAACTTTAGAGTTTCAAAACCCGCTACTGAAACAACCATCGCCTTTTCACCTCGGCCGGATTGCTGGCTAACCGTTCATGAACGACAAGCGGTGGATAGCTGCCGATAACGGCCAGGGATATTATTTCGTTGCTTACTTTTGTGTATGACCACGACCTGCAAAATGGCTGCGCAATCCCGAATGATATCACAAGAATGCGAAAGCGAGTATGCAAGAGCGAAACGATGTTCTCTCGATGCTGTTTCGATCGCCGAGCCTGAATCGAAACCTCGCTGCTGATACACATCTGCAGACATGCTTCCTCAGATGCCAAACATCAATGCACGCTCCCACAACGCGACATCATTGTTCCGAAGCAGCCTTGGGAAGATCCCAAACCAAGCTTCTGGAGATGATCGTCCCGCAGTGGATATCCTAGCGGAATTGGCCTTAGTGGAGTAACCATGACCATCGTTCGACCAGCATCGTCTCAGCTCTCCGGTCAGGGTCTGTGCTCTCGGTATCACAGCCTCCCTCGACGGCCATCATCGTGTTTGGCCATGGCAGCAAGGGGTCGCGGGCGCCATCTTGCCTTGGTGGATCGGAGACGCAGACCGCTGAATGCTTGTGTCTATGCTAAGCTTTGGAACGCTGACAAGCCACTGCGAGAAAGCTGTATATAAACCTCACTGCTCGTCCTCCTAAGGTCGACATCACCATCACTCAACATTCAAACCAACCAGACTCGCTTTCTTCCCTTCCTTCCATCCTTCTAATTACTTTCTTGCGCCGGTCGCTTGCTTAATTCACTACTCATTACATCTTTCTCACTCAATACTCTCGACTATCTTCAACTCTTTTTAACCCTTTTTATCAACCAACTTCATATCCATCAAGATGCGTTACTCTCTCGCTGCCATTGCTGCTATTGCCGCCTCCGTCCAGGCCCACGGTGTCGTTTCTGAGATCCAGGGTGCCAATGGTGTAACCATGCCTGGTCTTTCCGTCCAGGACGGTACTCCTCGCAACTGCGCTTCTCCTCTCTGCGGTTCCGAGGCTGATACTTCCATCATCCGCACCCGCGAGATGGGTGGTAAGGCCTCTGCTCTTGGACGCACCCAGGGTGGCGGTGCCGTTGACGCTGGTGCCGCTATCTCCATGTTCATGGGAGGTGCTGGTGCCGGTGCCGGTGCCGCAGCTGGTGCCAAGCGTGGCTTCCTCGATGCTCTTACCGGCGGCGGTGCTGGCGGTGCCGGTGCTGCCTCTGCTGGCACCAAGTCCACAGGAACTGAGGGTGGTGTCGCCAAAGCCGCAGGTACTGGAGCTACCTCTGGTCTGCCCACCACTGCCGACGACGGCACCATCACCATGACCTTCCACCAAGTCAACCAGGACGGTGCCGGTCCCCTGACCGCCCAGATCGACGCCACCTCCGCTGGTACCGACCCCGCCGCCTTCCAGGACGCAACCGTCATGCAGAACGTCCCCGGTATCGGTATTGGAGGTCTCTCCGCCGCGGCCGTCAAGGACTTCCCCGTCAAGGTCCAGATGCCCGCTGGCATGACCTGCTCCGGTACCGCCGGTGGCGCCACCAACGTCTGCATCGTCCGCATGCAGAACGCTGCCCTTGCCGGTCCTTTCGGTGGCTCCGCTGCCTTCACCCAGAGCACTGCTGCTAAGAAGCGCGCGGTCGAGTACAACCTCCGCAAGCGCCACATGGCCCGCGGTATCCTCGGAAAGCCCGAGTAAGCTTCTCACCATCCATCAAGCTTTCTCTACATGGCCCCTCGGAATCATACAACGACGACAGCAGCAACCTCGGATAGCACGACAAATGAAGAGTTGGATATAATATAATAAGAGATGAAGAACAACTTTGCGGTTTTGCTGGGCAATTCCACTTTGGGCACAAGAACAAGAGAGAGAGAAAGCGATTTTTAAAGTACATACGAGTATGAATAGAGTGAGCTCGGCTTTTCAAGATCCATTCTTTATGATGGGTCTTGGTGCCACTCCTTTAGTTCTGTACATAACTGACCTACCATACACTCATTTACTTGAGCTGTTTCTTTTAGTTTGTTTGGTTATATAAACTGTAATTAGATGGATGGAATGGGAGACGGGGTCTGCGGAAGGAGAAGGGGTTGTTCCTTGACGGTTTTTTGGATGGGAGCAGCTCTTTTCTTTTTTTCGTGGAGGTTTCGTCTGGGTCTGTATATAGATGAATGTTAGCGAGTCTGGTTTAAAACTTCTTGGTCTTGCATGAGTGACTTTGGTGACCAGATGACTGACTGATGAATGGGAAATGTTTGTATTTAGAGGGCAACGGGCTTCGCAGTCTCTGGTAGATGACCACTGAGCTTCCTTGTATACCTTGTAAATATAATGTTCTTCTATATTGAAACGTCTGTTTTCAAGTCTACAAAGGCATACGATTGGACAGATTCGAAGACTTGGCCCTAATGCAGACTTCCGGGACATGTGATTTTGTATACTGGAACACTCAAATTCACCGTAACAACGACGTTAATCTGAGTAAAATACCCTAGTAAACAGAAATCACATTTCGTCGGTGCTAGGATTAAATGTCTTATCTTGGCCATCTTCGTCGACAGCGTCCAGGAGAAATGTGCGGCGTAGCCACGCTCTCCATCGTTCCAGGTTCCACACCCATCTTTCAACATCCAGATCAGTGTTCTGGAAAACACTGCACAAGTGCTCGAAAAGGTCTTGAGTCGATGCTGTGTAGTCCGGCGTGATGGCCCATAGCCCTCGTTCCCGTGGCGACATCAGTGAGAGTAATGCGTATACGCGATCGCGTGGATCGACACAGGCGCTTTCGGACGATACATTCACCAGCCAGGTTAAGCTGGAAGTGATGACATCTGATCTAGTCCCAAACTGAATAATATAGAAGGCCCTTTCTTGCGCACTTGTCTCGAAGAGGTCCGCGAAGTCGAGATCTAACAAGTCTTTCACTCTAGACACTAGCTCCGAATCAGACAAGACCTCATTCCCGCACCAAAATTCGACGGACAACGAGAGCAAGTACTCTTGGAGGATCCAAGTACGGGTCCAGTATGGATGGGCGAACATGTATCTGAAGCTCGCCTTTTGAAGACGGTCTTCGATAGCAGGTCGCTGTCCTCCCGAGTCGAAAGGTTCCTGCACTGCGAATTCTGTTTTCAAGGCCCGAAACTGCTCTTCAACCTCCATACTCGCCGTACCAAGCCAAGCTATCGTTGTTTTCGCCTGCTTATATATCGAACCCATGATGGCGACTTGATGGGTTTTCTCGCTGTCGCTTGTTTGGTCGATCGAGAGAGCGTCGATCCAGAGGTAGCCGTCGTGTCTCACATCCCGCAGCCGATTAAGAAGGTCCCAAAGATTCTGCCGTACTGTAAATAGCTGTCCATTGAGTAGGATTTGTTCTGTACGCGAAGACTCTCCCCACACATATGAAACGGCGGTATAGTGCGGTGCATGTTCTAGAGACGTAACATGGAGTCGTACGGAAATCTTCGATGAGGGTGTGGCGGTCGAAGAGTCTAGTTCAAGTTTGAGCAGTCGCGTGTTGATCGTAGGGCTAAGGTCCAGCGGAGCAGACTGATGGATTGCCGACATCGCGGTTTGGGACGTTTTCCAAGGTTGACGCGAATTTCTCTATGTAGGGACAGAACTACATAGGTGTAAGTGTTGTAGGTCTTGATGTGCTTCGCAGGCTAACATGGTCCGAAAAGAACTCGAACCTTTCAACAGCCATGTAAACTCCCAGGGTATCTGCTTGTACGTACATTGATCCTACTACGAAAGGACAATTCTATCCCCAGATAACACGATGATAAGTACAACCAAGAACTTTGTATGCAGCGTACATGAGTTGTGTTCAGAAGGTGTTCAGAAGGCTGAAACGCCTTCGCAGCAGACGGCAGCCTACTTATATACGGCTGAGCGTCTTCGTGTTAGCCAATGATAGGCTCGATGCGCGGCATAGTCCTCTCCTTCATATCTGCGCGTCATCTTGGTGTACTTGGGTAAACGTCCAGGCATGATGGGAATATCCTTCTACAAACGCGTGGTTCAGAGGTAAGAGCACTACGAAAGGGTGGATCCTGGAGTGTGGAGCTGTGCTAGGGTCGCTCATCGCCGGCGCGTCACTCCTACCTAACAGACATTTTGCGCCTCACGCAGCGCCTCTCTAACAACATCCTCCTCCGCTACATATATCCGACATGGGCAAAGGAACCGACAAGCTATACATCACCCACTCCGAGTGGTCATCCTCGGATGCATTCGGCAACGCGCGCGGCGCAAACAGCGCAAATCGAGCTTCCGCTGCTGGCCTATCCTCGACCTTCAAGCGCCTGCCCTTCAACTACTGCGCCGTCTCCCTACAGCCCTTCACAGATCCCGTGTGCACATTATCGGGCACCATCTTCGATCTCACCCACATCCTCACATGGCTATCGAAACACCCCGACACGAATCCCGTCGACGGAACGCCATTGAAGCGTGCCGACCTCATCACGCTCAACTTTACCAAGAACGAGGACGGTGAATTCGTTGATCCAGTCACATACAAGGTCTTCACAGACAACACACACATCGTTGCGCTGAGGAAGAGCGGCAATGTCTTCGCATGGGACACGGTTGAGAGGCTGAACATCAAAGCGAAGAACTGGCAAGATCTGGTCAGCGACGACCCATTTACAAGGAAGGACATCATCACGCTCCAGGACCCTCAAAGCATCGAGTCAAGGGACTTCAGCTCTTACAAGCATGTGAAGGACGGAGACACAGTGGTGGCAGAGGCGGAGACCGGTGTGAACAAGGAGGCGCTGGGCAACGCTGCGAAGATTCTAAAGGCGAAAGAAGCAGTTGCGAAGGCGCGCGAAAATAGGAAGATCAAGGAGCAGAGCGGAATTACATCGAAAGCGCTTGCAAACCTACCCAGGAATGGCACAACAGCATCGACATTGTCTGAGCCCAAGAAACCAGCATACAATGCCGCCGTGTATACTTCCGGTAAAGCTGCTGCGTCCTTCACCTCAACCGGCGTCACCCCGCATACCTCCGGCGAACGCGCCCTCCTCTCCGACGAAGACTATATGCTCAAGCCGAAGCGGATAAAGAACAAGGGCTATGCACGCATCTCTACCTCCCTCGGCGACCTGAACGTCGAACTCCTCCCCGAATACGCACCGCGCGCGGTATGGAACTTTGTCAAGCTGGCACAGAAGGGATACTACAGCCACACAATCTTCCACAGGAACATCAAGGGCTTCATGATACAAGGTGGTGACCCGACAGGTACTGGAAGAGGCGGGCAAAGCATATGGGGCAAGCCATTTGAAGATGAGTTTGAGGGGCCAGAGAGGCATAACGCCAGAGGTGTACTCAGTATGGCGAACAAGGGGAAAGGCACCAACACGAGCCAGTTCTTCATCACATACCGCGCCGTACCGCATCTCGACCGTAAACACACAATCTTCGCACGAGTAGTCGGTGGTTTAGATACTACACTACGCTCTATGGAGGTCGCAGAGGTCGGGGAGAAGGACAAGCCTGTCGACGATATCGAGATACTAGACGTAGTGGTCTTTGTAGACCCATTCGAAGAATGGCAGAAGGAGCGCAAAGACAAGGAGAACAAAGAGCTGGAGGCTGAGGAGATCAAGAGGCAAGGCGGCACAGCCGATGACAAGACTACATGGACAGGCAAGCGCATACGCGCAGATGGCACTGTGGAGAACGGCACGGGTGAAGGTCTCGGCGTAGGCAAGTACCTCCAAGCTGCGAAACAGGAGATACAGAACCAGGGCGAGGATGAGATAGTGGGATACGTGGATGATGAAGAGGATGTTGCGCCCGTCAAGAAGAAAGCCAAGACTGGTGGTTTTGGCAACTTTGACGCCTGGTAGGGTGTTCATGAGTTGTTGACTGGTGGTTAGACAGCACTAAAATGATACCCCTATGCATTCTGCCTTGCAAATTCGCAGGGATGGTTGTACGTCTCCTCTGTTGTTCATCCTCACGACGCGTTTAACACCCGTAACCCCCGCGCCAATCGAGCACGACGCGGAATCTGTCCGCTGCAACTCGCTGACTACATACATGACTGTATATAACACCCAAATAACACTCTCGGCTCCGTCGGCGTTAGCCTAAAGCCCATTGGGCTAATCATCATCTCCAATCGGTGTGCGAGGAGCGAGTATGCGCAGACTAATCCGTGCCGTGCGCGGAGATAGGTGGGGTGATGGTGTCTGTAGTTGAGAAGGTACGAACAGCCGCGACACGCGTTGTTGTCATATTGAGAATTATATTTCTAATCCGGATGCACAGGGTGTAAGTACGGAACGTTGCGGAAGGTAGTTTGGTCGACCAGGGAGGTATTAAAATGTTTAGTCGTTTAGTCGTTGGCTGATGCGGGGAAGAAAGGAACGGTGATAGGTGATAACGATGATGTATGCATACGCATACGTGCATGACGGAGGTAGAGATAAAAGAGGGCTAGGTCGCGCCTACCTCAGCGCGTTGACATCACAGATCAACACTGTCTTGACTACTGCACCTTTAAACGCTTGCATCCACGCTTAAGGAAGCTTGATCTCTGCACTTTACCTGCCCAATCTCAACACCATTCGTGCACCAAATACCATCATGTCTTCATCTGACATCCCCTCCTCTTGCCGCGCCGTCGTGATTGAGAAGAAGGGCGCGCCTTGGACGATCAAAGATGTCCCCGTCTCTGCGCCAAAGTCGGGCGAGGTCCTGATCAAGGTACTCGCGTGTGGTATCTGCCATTCGGACAGCTTCATGCAACAGGGCCATCTGGGAGACGTCTACCCTCGTGTCCCGGGACATGAAGTTATTGGGAAGGTAATCGCAGTTGGCGATGGCGAAAAGAAGTGGAAGGTTGGAGACCGTGTTGGTGGAGGATGGCATGGTTCTCATGATGGAAGCTGCAAGTCCTGTAATAAGGGAATGTTCCAGATGTGCGAGAATGAGCTTGTTAATGGAGTTAGTAGGGATGGTGGATGTGAGTTTTACCTTCTTGCTGGAATATCGACACATCCAAAATGGTGGACTGACACGCGATATTAGATGCCGAGTACTGTACCCTCCGCAGCGAGGCTGCAGTGCGTATTCCCGCCGATGCCAACCCCGCCGAGTACGCTCCTCTACTCTGCGCCGGCGTTACCGTATTCAATGGCATCCGCAAGATGAACATCCAGCAGGGGGACACTGTCGCCGTGCAAGGACTTGGTGGCCTAGGTCATCTGGCACTCCAGTACGCTCGCAAGATGGGCTACCGCACGGTCGCTGTATCGTCTTCGGACAGCAAAAAGGACTTTGCTCACCAGCTCGGCGCAAACGACTACATCGACACATCGAAAGAAAATGCCGCCGAGGCACTACAGAAGATGGGTGGCGCAAGCCTCATTGTCGTCACGGCACCAAACCCGCAGATCATAGGGCCGCTGGTTGATGGACTTGGTCCTCTGGGTAAACTGCTTGTCCTTGCACCCGTGGGAGATATTCCAGTCAACACCGTGAGCCTGATCATGAAGGGCAAATCGGTCCATGGATGGCCATCCGGACATGCGCTGGACAGCGAGGAAGCGATTGACTTTGCGGAGAAACAGGGCGTGAAGTGCATGGTCGAGAAGTTCCCATTCGACAAGGTCGAAGATGCTGTCAAGCACATGGAAAGCGGAAAGGTGAGGTTCAGGAGTGTCATCGTTATGGAGTAGGCAGACCAAGCAGTACTGCGCATGGCAAGGATGTTGGACGCGGTCAGCGCGGATGTGGAAACTATAGAAAAACGTCAGGAACTATAGCTGAGGAGATGATTGAAACAATGAAACAATTGCCATCATGCGAAGTGTCTTGCTATATGAAGCCCCGCATATGGACTCGTGGTCGTGCTGGGATGATGGAGGTTTGCGTGCAAGGAAGCGGCGGCGAGGTAGTTAAAGCACGAACAGCGGCCATCAGGGTAGACGCAGCTCGCATCTATAACCATCACACACACGTCAAACCCGTCATACGTACACTCCAAGAAAGCCAAGTCCGCATCTTGATAGCTTCTCTCTTCTAGGCTCCTAGACTCCACGTGCGAACGCATCCACGCGCCTCAGCCACGCAGGCGCCGTAACCGTCTCATCTCGGGCGATTGTGGTTCGCGCCTCGCCCGCCAGTCCATACGCAGCCGCCGAGGCAGCTCAATTAAGTACACGCGCGACACACACCTCTCACACATCTCCTGTCCAGCTCCGGGTACCTGCATCTGAAGCGCGGTCGCGACATGTAACGCCTGCGCTGGCTCGCCCAGCCAATGGGCGGCTGCAACGCCGCAGCGACACTAACCACCGCCTACCCCGTTGTTTCAGAAAACTGAATAACGGCCACTTGCGACACTCAGATAGCTGTACAAGGACTGCCCGTCTCGTGGCTACCCACTTGAGCTATGATGAGGCAAAGGCAAGGTAAGGGTCTTCTGTGTGCGGATAGGACGGGTGTCCTTGTAGATCTACCTTAAGATGTGGCGGGTCCCGCCGCCTGGTCCCAACGCTGCCTGAGTTTGGTTGTTGAGCGACTGAATATCACGAAGATCGCGGCTCTCCTCCCTTCTCCTTTCCTTTCTTTTGCAAACTGTTTTCTTTCTTAACGCTGTGCGTCTTTGTTCCCCAACAGTTCGTTTCGGAAGTACATTCGCTCTTTTGCAGGCCCGGTGCCAGGAAGAAACAACAGTCGTTCCCTCGTTTGCGTGTTGCGTCATTCACGTTCTTTATTGCAGCTTTTCTGGATATTTCTGTATAGACAAGGCGATCTTTGGTATATCCGCGCACTGCCGTTACACCATTGTGTCGAAACAGTTCTGTCGACATCCCCATACGTGAGAAGTGGGGCGCATCACCATCTTTCCCAGAGTGTTAACAGCAAGAGATCTGAACTTCGGTTGTCCACGGCAACGCGCAGTCACCGGAACATCTCAGCAAAAAGCCCCAGTGCAGTCCGCAGGTGACAGCACTCGAAATTTCACACGACGCAAACAAACCCGCTGTCTTGAAAACGTCATACCGCCTGTTCAAACGCAAGTCGTCTCACCACCTCCGGAAGACATCTTTCCACCAGGACATCCAGGCTTCGTGATCGAAGTTCGAGATTGGCACTCGGAACTCTGGGTCACGGCCCTTTCTCCATTCGAGACCTACGGGTCCGCCGACCCCAATTCACGAAAACCTTTACAACACTCACGATGCTACCCGCCTCAATACGTTCAGCCTTGGTGGCGCTCACGCTTGCGTCGGTATCCTCAGCGACAACAGTGTCACTCTCGGCCTTCATTCCGCGGATCCAAAACCTCCCAACATCTTGCAACACCGTCTACAACTCCGCCATCTCGGGTTGCTCAGCCGATGACTTCAAGTCTGGCGCAACATGTACCGCATCCTGCGTACGGGGTCTTTCAGCGCTCGCGGAGGAGGTGAAAGACAAGTGCGCGGACGTTGATGCGGGCGAGTTGAGCATCATCGGCGTCTTCCAGAACGGACTGGGTATCCAGAGTCTATGTCCAGGAGTAACTATCGTAACGACCTCAAGCGATACTGCACAAAAGACGAGCACGAAGACATCAGAGCAAGCGACAAGCACCGAGGCGGTCTTGACGTCTACAAGTTTCACAAACTCAGCAATCGAAGCGACGTCAACTCCGTCAAGTTCAACTGCGGATTCGGACGATGGGGATGACGAGCCGACCAGCTCAGCGCAACCGACAACTACGAGCTCGTCAACAGGGGGCTTGACGCTGGATCCGAATGCCACTGGAACGTTCACGACTTCTGTCGCACCACCCACAGACACTGCGCAGGCGGCGGATCCCACACAAGCACCGAATGCTCAGCTGTCAAACACTGACTCGGGCGGTGGCTCACCGTTCGATGTCGTTGCGGTAGGCGCATCATGGCAGCTCAAGGCTTCGGACCTGTCGATAGCAAGTCTATCTGCAGTAGCCATCACACTGCTCACTAGCAGTTGGTAGCACTGTTATCTACACCTTTCTTGTGTTTATGCATTGCCGAAGAGGCTCACGATATGGCGTTGGAGTTTGCATTGTTTGTACTATACCCGCATTGATGGATTGGCAGAGAAGAGGCACGAGCAGCCGGATGTGTCAGAGAGACCATGTGTCACGGAGTAGTCATGTAGCATAGGTGGACACAATTAAGGGCACTCACAGCAGCGAAAGCTTGCGTGAAACGATGAATCAAAGCACATGAATACCTCACTCTCTCAATTTCCTGCATGTGATTCTCCCTGCCTGCGCATTTATCCAACCTTTTCAAATTACTCTCATGCCGCCGTGCTGCTCCACGGCAATCAACCCTTCCGGCCAACAGCCCCCTGCCAGGTAAGCGAGCGTAGCTGCACCCCAGACGTAATCGCCTTCCCGCCCAGTCGACTTATCGTCAGCCCTCCACTAACCCAGCCCCACCACCATGCAGGAGCACAGGAGTAGAGTCGAGGACCATGAGGAAGACGTTATTGCTGTGTTTCATCCACGGCTTCAAGGTACGTAGCCTTTACGCGATATCCTCATTACGTCATCGCCGGGGTCGCATCTCCATGTCTCAGGCCCAGCCATGTGCAATGCGACGCCCAATGCGATGCGAACAAATGCGAGAACGATACTGACACGTGCTACAGGGTGGAGATGAAACATTCAGAACCTTCCCGAGCCACGTGAAGGCGCTCCTCCAGCATGCGCTGCCCAAGGTCACCGTCCTCACCATCACGTACCCCCAGTTCGAGACGCGAGGCGACCTGCACGAGTGTGTCGGCCGCTTCAAAGAATGGCTACAGAACAAAGTCATAGACCTCGAGGTCGCCAATTCGACGCCGTCGCCCACCGTCGACCCTTCGGTGCGCACGATACTCGTCGGCCATTCTATGGGTGGCATCGTTGCAGCTGAGACGCTCCTCTCCATCCTCGCTGAACAGCCGATCCACTCGCAGTCCAACTCGCAGACCGGCTCTACTGGCTCGCTTGCCGACCATTCGGCGCTCATGTTCCCGTACATACAGGGCATCCTCGCTTTCGACACACCATACCTCGGTATAGCGCCTGGCGTAGTGGCACATGGCGCGGAGAAGCATTGGAACACCGCGAGCTCGGCATACTCGGCGTATAACAACCTCGCAGGCGCGTTCGGATGGGGCGGCAAGGACACTGCGGCTGGTGCAGTCGATACGAGCAAGATGCTGCCAGCGCCCTCGTCTACTGGTGACGCAGCATCGGCACCGCTGTGGCAACGCTACGGAAAGGTAGCCATGTTCGCCGGTGCAGCGGGTGCGATAGCAGCAGGAGGCGCAGCAGCCTACATGAAGAAAGACCAGATCACTCAGGGTGTTTCATGGGCCACATCACATCTGGAATTTGTCGGAGTCCTAGCCCGCCCCGAAGAGATGCGGAAGCGACTCGAGAAGATTGCAAAGCTCACCACGAGCCACGGTCTCGGCTTCTGCAATATGCACACCACGCTCGGCCACGCCGTCAACAGTGAGAATAAAGAACACGGCTGGACGGGCAAAGTCGCAGGCAAAGACCGTACCTTTTGCAACCTACCCAAAGGCCCTCTCAAGGACTTCTTCATGCCCGCCGTGAACGACAAGGCTACAGCAGAAACCTGGGCCCACACCTCCATGTTCGAGCCTCGCAACAACCCCGGTTACTACACCCTCAGCGAGACAGCCAAGGAGAAGATCATCGAGTGGACAGAGTCGACGGATTGGTACGAAGAGAGCGAGGGCCCGTTGACGGGAGAAGTTGGTGAAGAAGCGGAGATTGTAGAGAGACAAGAGGTAGATGAGCAGATGCAGAAGGAGGCTGATAGGAAAGAGGCGGAGGAACTACAGAAGGCGAAGGACAAGGGTGATGTTGATGCGCTTGAGGAGGAGGGCGATTTTGTGGACTTGAAGAGGACGGGTGAGGTTGCGGAGGGGGACGAGGAGGCGAGGAAGAGGAGGGAGTTGTGAGGAGTGTGGGGGGTTGTTTCGTGAGTCTGTATACCCTTTGATCTGGAGAATGGATACATGACTTTTCTCAGCAAGAGCGAAGCATATTCAAGTTCTCAAATAGGTCACATCCGAGGTGCCTGTTTCGAAGTTCGATACACAGCTTACATTGCATGCCCGCGCGGCGTTCGTTCTGTTGCAGGTTAGCTTAACAGGGCCAGACCGGTAAGGACTACTTGGCGCATACTGGCCCCCAACAGTGATTGACATCCCGTCTGCCAATCTAAAACCCATGTCGTTCTTCTACATCGGGGAGAAGCAGTCGTTATGGCCCCCGCATCGTTAGCTTTCCCGCCACTGCTTACTTCCCGAGGCTTCAGCCAGTTTCAGGTCCACTTCTTCTACTCCCGAACCGCAACATCATTGCTTTGACGAATGTGCTGGTACAAAAAAGCGGGCACAAGAACCAAATCGTCATGGCATTTCGCCTTCCCGTTCCCACTTGTATGTGGCTTGTAGCAGTCTGGTTAGGGTGCTCTTTGGGTCTGGCAGCCTCTGTGGCGCCGCTGGTCGTTGCGCCTAGCGGACATTGGTAATTTTTCATGATCATGAGCTTAAGGTTTGACTAATCATCGAACAGGGACGGCGCAGACGGTCCGTGGTCAACCTTTGACATCTCTGTGGGTAATCCAGTTCAGTCTTTTCGGTGCATCGCTGGCATTACCTCTACGGTTGT